CCTGCTTACATGGGAAGGCATCGTGTACATGTACCAACAAACCATCGAAATTTTAGAATATACCCGATCTGCAGAGGTAAAACTTCAACACTTTCCTTTAAATGCATATTTTAGTCTTTGCTCAGTAATTTTTCAAGACAGTGTTCGGTAGTGAGTTTACCTGAAATTTAAAGCCGATACCAAGTGGTCAAAACCCGGATCGGAAATACATATTGAGAAAACCAAATTTTTTAAATTAGTATTTCTTATTTCTCAGAAAGGCTTAGATGGAGTCAAACACAGATTAATATTCCAATAAAAGATTATAACCTGCGAACTGAGTCAATCCCATAAATTATTGGTGGTGAAAAGGAAAAACTTTGTATATACAATTACATGAATTAAATATTGCAAAATTACATTTCGTACTACAATTGTGTGAGTTAATGTATTTTTAATTAACAACTAAAAAACAATCGAAGTATATAATTCCACAGGCTTTTAGATTAAAAATATATAAATTACAAGAACAACATACAGCTAATATATGCAATATTATGCTGATTATTTACACATGTACAAATATCTAATTAAATCTTCGAGCACTTGAGCTTAATTTGTGAGAATATTTTATGAAATTATATTTTATTTGTTTTGTGTGAAAATAGATTCCTGAGCAACAAAATGCTTAACATAGTGCACAAGATGGAAAACATAATAATTTAATTGATTTGCATAGATTAATGGCTTATTAGTTGTGTTATTACACACATGCATAGATTGGTGTTCATGTGCTAAGCGAAGCGTTTAAATGAAAAATATTTCTTCAACTTTTTAATTACATATTGACTTTGTCGTATTAAGCTTATTTTTGTAGACGTCTTGTTTATCTTCCCCAGAGCTCAGTCAAAAGTGTCTTTTATAATATGCAATGAGATGTACATACTTGAATACATACATATCTACAAGCATTGTACTTCAACCAATGTATTGAAAATTTGTTGTATTATTCTGTTTATATTTGTAAATACAATATAGCTTGATTCCCCAATTATTTGCTTTAAGAGCTAATACAATATTTACTACGTATAAATATACATACATGTGTGTTGGTGAAATTAAATACATGAAATCGTTATTTGCAATTGATATTATATCCTTGTGGCTGTGGTTGTCGCTAGCAGTTAGCTGCATGCTAAGGAGTATTCCTTTTCTACAAGTACGTAAATGCAGTGCAACGGCATTTCCAGCTTCATTTTCAAAGAATTGGAGCCCGATGATGCCACCATACCATAATTTTTGAAGATGCAATTGCATTTCCTGAACAAGACGAGGATTCGACTCACCAAAATAGCGACAATTTTGTGTTTTGACGAAACCGTTATGCCACAACGGGCTTCAGCTGAGGTGATAGTTTTGTGTCATCCTTGGCTTCAATCATCACAATCTTATACGGATGCAGAACCAAATTCAACAACAAAATTTCTCATGTTGGTGTCGGAGATAGACTCCACTTTGCAGAACGACGTTGCGCTGAGGGAATCGAATTCGCCTCAACACTGGCCTGAGAAAATTTGACGCAAATCCCGAAATAAACATGGCCGCCAAGAGCTGTATAATCACGTTGTCGCTATTGGTAGACGCTCAGGGTAACTACTTTTTCAAATTTTGAATAATTAAATCTGACTAGATTTCTTTCTCGTTGGTCTTACAATGTTCGCACTCGTCATGCTTATACTCTTGCAACATGTTGCTAAAGAGTATAATATTTTTTCAGTTGCATGTATAACCTAAAATTAATCGATATATAAAACTATACGATTATATATATATATATATATATTTATATGATCGGGGTGACGAAACGAGTTGAAATATGGGTGACTGTCTACCTGTCCGTGCTTCTGACAGCGCAAGCGTTAAAATTAATATGTATTGATGATGATTGATTTGATTGGCGTAATCGGTCTACTGCCACGCCCACAAGGTGCCATTAATCGCAAACTTATAAAGTGTCCTAAATAAGCCCTCAAATACGATATAGTACTGTAATTGGCACTGACGCTTGCAGCAGCAAGTTGCAGGAGTATGAAATATTCGGTTACACCCGAACATAACTCTTTCTTACTTGTTCACTTTAATTGTTATTTCATATATGTATATATCTTTTATCGTCGCATTCTAGAGTTTGTTATTAAGAACCATCATTACTCCTAACGTTCTCTTTTCTTAGAAAGATATGAACACGAGATATTCTGGCTCGTCGAGCTGTCTGAGGCAAAAGTGGAGTTGTCTTTAATGGTGTTTCTAATATATACATTGTCACTGCATAGTTTGGCATTACCACCAAGCTTAAGTACGGGTTGTCAAGGGGACAGAATAGTCTGTAGTATACAATTATTTTGAAATGTTTAGAATTAATAAATATTTTCTATGGAAGTGTAATGAATAATCTTCAGAGCATGTTACGAAAGAAATGTTTGATGGTAAGATTTCCCGATGACATTTTGTTTTCACTTTTTTCTCATCACATAGTCCTTTGCTCAAGTAAAATTTGAATTTTGCATTTACTGTAAATGTTCTTACTCATTAAATTGACGCCTACAAATTTTTCGTGAAGATTGAGCTCCCGAAATGGCACATAAACTTCAATAATTTGGATTCCTCAACGCAAAACTGTAAATTCGAGGAATTCACCTCTAACACACACCAACACATGCCCTGAGTAAAATCAGATTTCAATTTCAAGCGCCTTTCAGTCACAAATCAGACCTAGCAACTGAACAAACGAGTTGCTGGCAAGTGAAAGCGGCTGCACAGATTGCTATTTTCATGTTTACGCTGATTGTTGTATGTCTCCTTGGCTGGCTGTTACAAATTGTGAGACTTTTAGTCGTAATTGCCCCTCTGAGACGAATACGAAGAAAGCTCATGCATATCTAAGCACAAACTCACAAACAGACAGACGGACTCGTAGGTGTGATGACAGTAAGTGAAAATTGGAAAAATCCACCCTACACAGCTGCCAGCGACCAAAGTGTCAATACACTCTCATTCCAGTGTGTATGGTTATTTCCACTTCTTTTTATCAACGAAACGTTTGATTAGCCCGTCTGCTTCTGCTGCTTGCCAGTAGCTTTGATTTTCTCCGAATTGAAAAATTCTTTTAGAAGCGACATTTGCACGGTTTCGCTTGAATTGTTTCAAAAATTGTGCGCAAATGTCGTTGTCGGCGTCGTCGTCGGCGGAAAAATACCTTTGGGGCTATTGAGCAATTCTCTATAATTACCAACCGAAACCCCTAACACGACATCCTCAACGCTTACTTGAGACAATTCTATTAAAGTTGAGTGCACTTGCCAGCAATTCAGCGAATTTATTTTGCCTGCTTAAAATTACTTTTATGTGAGAGCTGTTGTTCTGAGCATTTATTAACGAAATTCATTCGACTAAAAGTGAACAAAACGATCTTGAAGCATTCCATTAATTATAAAATTATTTATTTGTCAAGAAACAAAAGAAAGAATTGTTTATAGCCTATGTAAGGGTTGTATGTATTGCGGTAAATGGTGTTAGACAAAAAACTTCTTTGCCTTCAATACCCTGCTTTAAGGAAAAAAGGCAAAACTGTAGTATAGTTACTTAGATTAGACCTATTTTCATCTGTTAGATATCAGAAATTTTTTAAGTAATAAAATTTAGCATAGGGTACGTTCTTTCGAAAACTGTTGTTGTTGTTGTAACGGTTATCTATTCCGCGTTAAGATGTTAAGCTTCTGATAAGTTGTCATCGAGGCCATCTAATGGTTGTCCTAAGGAAATTGCTGTTTCGTCGGGGTTGGACCATAGGGAGAGATGTGTCAGATGTGTAGAATTAGTTGTGCATGCAAAGAGGTGGTTAAAGTCGTGCAGGAACTCGTACTTGCTGGACATATATTTGATGTGTCGGTATCAATTCTGAAGAAGTAGGAGTTTAACCTGTTAACAGTATCCAGAATGAAGCTGCACAAGGTTCACTCTCGATTCTCGGGGTAACTCTTCGTCTGCAATGGGTAATGGTTTGACTCCAAATACGCCATTCAGTGAGAGGGAATCGGCGAAGGCATTTATGGCTCCACTGTGATGGCGGCCAGTGCATATATGAAATTAGTTGCGTCTGAAGACTGGACGGCGTATTGTCTTATGTCGTCGATGTAGGACGACGACTTGAAGATGGATCTCTTGTTGCTCCTAGGAGACGGTACCGCTTCAAGCAGGTGACTGCATGGCTTATTTCTACGAAAGCACCCCATCAGAAACTGCTTGGAGAGGAGTTTATTTCTCATTATCCTTATCCTTAACTGAGAGAATGCGGGCCTCACAATGCATACGTTCGTTGGGAGAAACCAAGAGGAATCGTTGTAGTCGAGAGTGTAGTGTTATGACAGATTTGCAGCTTCCTCGTCTGCGTTTTACTGCGTGCAGGCATGAGGCACTGTACTTTGGCAATAATAACGGTCGTGTGAGGAGTAGAGGAGCACAGGTTCGATAGCCTGTCATCACACCTAACACCTTAGGGTTATTGACAGTCGGAATTTTAAGGTCATCTATTGCAATATTACGGTAAAGTCTATGCTCCTTCGCCCAGTTAGTGAATATGGTGGCTGTGGATTTAGTGGAGGAGATAGTTAAGTTTCGTGAAGCGAGGAAGCGAAAAAGATCGAAGGACTCAACTTAAAGTTTTTACCTCGGAAAAGTAGTTCCGCGCAGGTAATTCACAGTCCACCTCTTCAACCCTGGTGGGAAAGTAGATTTTTCGATGTCCCCAAGTAGCCTCGTGTGGGTGACTGTGTCAAAAGCTTTTAACAAATCCAACGCTACGAGGATCGTTCACTCGTTGAGTGCTTTTTCGTGGAGGCCATGAACAATCTGGGCGTTTATGACACTAAGTACTGTGCATTTTTTTAAGCCATGTTGGTGGTTCGCTTGACTCAGGTGGTGCGTAAAAGTTGGGAGTAGCAAGGCATCAAGTGTGTTCACTAATGGAGTGGGGAGAATTATCGGACGATAAGATTGACTTTTGTTGGCAGGCTTCCCAGGTTTCAGAAGAGGAACAACTCTTCCGCTTTTCCACACATCCGGTATTTGAAGACTGGTCAGCAACAGGTTGAAGGCCTTGGAAGCTTACTCCCGTCTAGCCTAGGTGCTCTGGCATCAGCATGTTTATTTCATCAGGGCCAATCGATTGGCTACGAGTGTGGAAAGGCATGGCCATTGAATTTGAACTCGGTCATCATAACTCTCCTGGTTTTTGTTTTTTGAATTTTCTCATAACTCGAATTAGTTTACACCAATCTATATGAAAACAATCATATATATATTAATAAATATATAAATCGAAATTAAATACCATTTACCGAAAACCTATAAAGTACCATAACTGAACACTAAATTAGGATAAAAAATTGCAGTATGTTACCTTATGATAAAAAATTGTTCAATTCTAACCAAAACTGTTGAAGACACTAGGCAACGCACACAGTGCCTAGAGTTGACTTTTTTTCGAAAATAACAGTCAATGTGTGAGATATCTAATTGAAATTCAGACAGGATCCTTTTCCTGCATTAGTACTTCTGCGTATCATAAATGGGTGGCATAATGGGTGGCATCGGATCAATATTTCCCTGAGCCCTCATATACCTAATATAAAAATTTTCGAATTTTTGAATTTCCTGCTGACTTTATACCGGATATAACGGCCAATATTTGAGTTATTTCAATGAAAATTTCAGAACGTGTTTTTCTCATAAAAGTATATCATTGTAATCAAAAGGATACAATTGTGCGAAAACTTGATCCTGCCCCCATTTTACCATTACCCGGATTTTTGAACATCGGGCTATGTTTGTATAATGTATAATGATTTTGGTTTTTCTAACAAATCTTATGCCGAATATATATGACGGTCAGTGTATAATTTTTGAATTTCCTGCTGACTTTATACTGGATATAACGGCCAATATTTGAGTTATTTCAATGAAAATTCCAGAACGTGATTTTCTCATAAAAGTATATCATTGTACTCAAAATGTATACAATTGGGCGAAAATTTGATCCTGCCCCATATTACCATTACCCGGATTTTTGAACATCGGGCTGTGTTTGTATAATGTATAATGATTTTGGTTTTTCTAAGAAATCGAATATAACAAGTCGAATATATATACGTCGATTGGTATATAGTCTGTCTCTTATACACATCTAGATGTGTATAAGAGTCCTGCCCCATATTACCATTACCCGGATTTTTGAACATCGGGCTGTGTTTGTATAATGTATAATGATTTTGGTTTTTCTAACAAATCTTATGCCGAATATATATGATGGTCAGTGTATAAGTTATATATAATGTATGCATATAAGTATATAAAATTGCTTAGATTCCAATCGTTTTACATCGTAAGATACTTCCCTGACTTTGATTCCTGCAAGTTGCAAGAGTATAAAATTTTCGGTTGTAGCCGAACATAGCCCTTTCTTACTTGTTTTGTTATTAAGTTTGCATTTGCTGGATATGTCTTTATATACTCTTTAAAAGCATTCTATTTCTGTTTAGATCTTAATACTTATTTTTGTTTGCAGGCAACTTTTATCACCAAATATACAACAAAAACATTACCATGTGAGTGGTTATCAGGTGGATGGTAATCGGCATGTAAGTATCTCACTGTAAATATATATTTATATATACCTATATAAAGATCTAAAATACAGAATATTTTATTTAAGATAAGAGGAGCGTCTTTATGAGCCTAAAATACTATTCGCACAAGCGTGCGGCATAAATACATAAAAGAGTAGGCTTGTACGTCCTATGATATAAATAAGAGTGGAAGTCTTGACGAGTTTTATTTTTATCTTTATACGAAAATATACTCAAGCAAAAGTGCCTCGTTATCTTCACAAATGATGAACAATATGTTGTGCGGCGGCGAAAAGTTATACTGCCGTGAATATTTACGTTGAAATGCGAGATTTGCAGCGACTTTCTTACGGTAAGGCTATCCTTTTTGAAGCCTGAGCTTTTGACACGCGACACGCATACTCACAACTTTGAGAGTTGAGTGTTGATATACACATTCGTTCAACTACATTCTTCACAATTATTTTTCGATGTAACATATTTCTTCATACCTTTGCCTATTCTCTCCTCGCCGTTAGAGTGTGAGCTCGTCTTGCGTGCTTGTTACGATTATTTTTCTTACACTTTACTTTTGATTGAATTTCACAGCGGAAGTAGCAAATTGCGAAACTTGAATTTCAATTACTTTCTGAACATAAACACAAGCATTATATAGGGCTCATACATACATACATTACACACGAAACTTTATTGAGCTAACATGACCGAATCTCTTCACTTTTGGAGCTTAGGCAAGTTTTGAGAAGTATTTAGCAAAATCACTTTGATTGTTTTGAAAGTTTCCTTTTGTTTTTCAGCTGACGTTAACTAACAGTAAGTCTTCAATGAAAAGTTCAAAATTAAATCAACTGGACATGTAGTGTTGGCGGCTTACGAACTGCCTCTTGGTTCCATTGTATGAGTATATTTTTATAAAAAAAAAATTTTATATATGTATGTACGTTAAAAAATTCAAAATTCAAATTTCTAATTTTTTCTAGAATATGTACGCAGATTTTTACTGCGTTGTTAGAACTCTAAAAATATGTTTTTTTAGAAAATCAATAATTTCCAATTTTCCAAATATTTATTCTATATGTGGCACTCGACATTTATCAAAGGCGTTTACAATCTGAAGATGAAGTCAGTAAAAGGGTTATTTTTACAAAGTTGCCTACTAAGTTTGGGAGACAATAACAAGCATTGCCACTTAAAAGTTATTGTACTATTATTGTGTATGAGTTTAATGCGAACGGGGACCTGATGCACAATAACATACGTCAAAGCAGAATAAGTAAATATACATACTAGCATCCCGATGAGATTATGATACCCACAATAGCATTCTTCCCACCGTAATTACCCTATACGAATCCAATATATGAATTTGATAAGTTTGTTGATGAGTTTAATCGACACTGGAAACTAGCTGCTTACATTACTTGCATGCTACTATTTATAAATACATATTTATGCATATACAGTGATCATATACTGTAGATATATATGTACATATGTTTATACTATGCATATACAATTCAACGCCCTCATGCTCTGATAAAAGTTACGAAAGCACACCCAACGTCTACCCTATTAAGTGACATGCAATATCAGCAGGTCACGTCCCACGTAGAGCATATGTCTGAAGAGAAATTTAATAATAAATATCAAATTTCGCACGTGCCATATTTTTATTTATTGCCGTGTGCGCACTTGCCGTAAATACCAAACAATTATTGTATTTATTAATACACTTGTGCGTGTAAGTGATTTGAGTTGATAGAGGCGCCGTTGAGAAGAAGGAGTGTTTAGGTACCTACTTCTCTTTCCAAAGCTTCACAATTACTTACTATAAATTGAAAATATATTTTGTTTACAAAGATTTCTAAGTAGAATAGTGTGGGCTGAATAGTATATTCAACAGAGAGGATTCAACTCAGAGCAAAATTTAAAACGGCCCATAAATCTATAGCAGCTTATTCATTTTATACCAGCTGCTTGTATGATTCACCATTTTTTATGATCCGCTGAAAAGGGTAGTATTTACTACTTTTTATAAAGCCATGTATGTATTAATTGCACCAGATTTTAGTATTGGTGGAAAACATTTGAACTAAAATTCATACGCAGAACACATTAAGTACCTTATAGAACTCCTAGCACATCAGTTACCAATTTTTCCTTCAGATCTGTTTAGCAGTGTTATTTGTACTCTCAGTACGCTTCATTTAGTTGGAAAAGGTGGCAGCGCATTCTTCATCGAGCCATAATTTATAGTTCAATGACAGCTCCTCTATTAGAGGAAAGCTAAGCTTTAAGCTTATCGAAAATATATTTGACTACTATTGGCGCGTAAGTTTAGGATAAAACAATCCTCCAGATTCAATAAAACTTCACAGCAACGACAATTTAACCGAATGCTGCCCAAAATGAAGTGAAATTTCAAATAGGTGATGAGCGACCATTTGCATTATAAGTGACTTGCGACTTTTTCTTAAAATACGACGATTTCTGAAATAAAATCATCTATCTATTTAAGCAGCAATGTCAAAGAGAGCTCTACCTTTGTAAATGGCCATAGTCACAGGTGATACATCGCCTACCACGGAGTGGAAAGTAGCCAACAATGGAGTTTTGACTCTTAATTGGCAGCAAACATATTTTCTTTCACAAAGCATCCTTTCGGAGATAGATTCAATCTTGCAATAAAATCTCAAACAAATACTATAGTTCAGACGGAGGCTGGCCGAAGTTTTTCAGTTAGGTCAATATAGATTGAAATTACTACTTTGAAGTCCATCGAAATGCTATCTATTTCATCAATGCTATCTAAGTTAATGATTACTAATTTACCTTAAGTTAGTTCTCTTGTTTTTTTTTTTTTCATTAAAAGAATATCGGCTCTCTTTATTCACTTCCTGCGAACGTTAACGATTTGCGTTTATGGTTTTGATAAAAGGCTTTTGGGTGAGCTTTTCATTTATAAATAAATCTAATATATTTTTTTTATGAATTTTTAATAGTAAATTTGCCGAGTGCATACCTTTTTCGAACTATCACTAAACTGCCATCTTTATAGACTCACAATAAGTATCTTATTCTCCAATTAGTAGAAAGCAACCGAAATTACACAAATAAATCTAATAAAAGGTATACCACAATAAATACTTTTTTATATTACATGATTTAGAAAGCCTCATTGGAAGGTTATGTGTCCAGTTAACCTTTCAAATATGAAAAGTAGCTCATATTTAAGCCAAGTCACTGTCCTTCTCTCTATATTTATGCATAAATTTGCGTGATAGTCTCTTTTTTTAATAATTCATTTAATATAACCTTATCTGATTTGCTACTTTCCAATGTTATACTGCAAGATTACTTTGCATACGACTAGCTTACAAAGCATATATCTAAAAATATACGCGACTTATACCACAGTTATTTATTTAAACACACAGACATTATATTCTAAATGATATTACTATTTCCAAACCTTACAAATGCCAAGTAAGAAACCCTTTCTTGATTGACGGTCAATTATGCACGCACACACACAACCAAATATATTTGGAAGCATGCAAATAAAATAAAATGTTTAACTCTAAATAACAAATACGACTGACATGAGATTTACTACTGTCCTACTTCGCACACATGCATGCTCAGATACACACACATACATTTGTGCGTGCAGTGGCTTAACGAATAATAAGAAAATCCAGTAATTTGATGAATAGCTGATGACCTTTAGATGCTTACACGAACCGCTGCCCGGGCAGACATGTGTAAGCAAATGTAAAATGCAAAATAATTCACAGCAAAAAACGCCGAGCGAAGGCAAGCGTTGAAAAGAAGTGGTGATACGGTACAAAATAATGCACAAAAAGCAAACACGCGTGCAGGATGGGCAAACTACAAAGACCCAAAATATACAAACAAACACTCAAATCTACAAAATATACCCAAACTGCGCGTGCAGCTGCAGATACACATACCAACATACATACATATAAGTTTATATAGATGTGCTTTGAGAGGTTTGTATGTTAAACACGCTTACACCGAGGCATCTTAAAGCAGGCGCTTTTAAAACGCTTAAAGTTTCTGCTACAGAATACATTCAATGTAGGTTGCGTATACGCCGCGTGGAATATGTGGGTGAAGTGTTGGGTGTGCATAAAAGTAAAAGGAAATGGTGTGTAAGTTGGTGAAAAATAGCCAAGTTTGTGCGATTTTTACAGCTATACGGCATTCGTCACTTCATTTGAAGATGTGTAGGACTATGAGTTTGTTGTTGTATTTTATTTTTATACCCTCAACGGGGTATATCAAGTTTGGCACGATGTCGACAACCAAATAAAGTATGAATATATATGATCAGAGTGATGGGTACGTTTAGATATTGCTTAGATCAGAACACTATAGCCTATAGCTGCCATACAAACTGACCGAAAAGGACTTAATGCTATGAGAATGCAGCTGTGAAGGGTATTAAAGATTCGGTGCGGCCGGAGTTCACTTGTTTTCTTTTTGCTGTATTTTTTGTGAGTTCCATGATTTCCTCATAGATTCATTTATGCACTAAAAAATGCGAGTTCAAGAAATGCGCTTCAATAAGCACGAAGTGCAGACCTTTTTTACTGCCTTTGTGCTGTCATTTCCTTTAATAAAATATACGTATGTATAGACGCCTGTATGCACACACTTACCATTCATATGAGTATTTTTTGCTAGTGAAACGTATGAATAAAAATTATGCTTGATTTTGAATGGAACGTGTGCTTCCTGAATTCCTACATTGGGAGGGGCAAACAGCATATTTTGGGGCATTTATGTTGTGCTGGCGAAACGGGTGGTTGAGGAGTAACAAAAGAAGTGGCAAACGCGTATAAGAAATCAAAACTTCAAACCTTAAACACACCTGTGATTGTGTGTGCGCTTATATAAAATCTTCTAGATACACATAATAAATAAAATCTGTTTGTAGATAGTTGCGTATGGGTGAGTATGTGTTTAGGCAATCAGTTTGCGAC